CATACGCTTCGCCTGATTACGATAAGTTGGGAATTCAGTTGCCTCTCAAGCGAGCCATAGTGTACACAACTAGGGTAACAATTACAGGTAGATTTTAGAAGTTCTATAAATAAGCATAATTTCCAAGTTACATGGCCACTACTTCGTATGGAATGTGCTCAAATAAAAATATTTTTAGAAACTAATTAATAAAAGGGAGATGCAATAGAGAGAGAGTGTGTGTGAGGTGGGGCGAGGGGGGAGGAGAATAATAAGGAAGATGGGTGGGGAGGGGGGGGAGGGGGGGGGGATTAGACGCAGCTGTTGAGAAAGGCCGCATAAAAATCACGCAAAATATCTATTAATTAAATTAGGAAAATAGCCACCCAGTGTGAAAGGAGGCACGAATTTAGTAAATTCGCGAAAAGAGAAGCTCGGCCACTTGACCACTTGGATGAATGCGGAATCGGCAGAGATCTTTCCGTGTGATAATGCCACGAACCTGTAAGAAAAGATGAGAGGTGAGAACAATTACACCGTAAACTCAGGTTAATGGAGAAAGGCCATGCACAATCCTCTGAATGGTCTCTCTAACTAATAAAGGTCCCCTTCAGCCTAGATATTCACTCCTGGTTGTTCTTCAAAGTTATATGAAGCGAACTCACTGATGTGTTATAGAAGAATTACTGTATTTATTGAATAGACACTTCCAATTTCCTTATCCAAACCCATCCCATTATAATGGCATGGGCCTAGGGTAGCTAATTCAAGCTTTTGGGCAATAGGAGGAAGCAAATTTCGTAAGTCAATAGAACAGCAAATAATAATAATGACACACATTAAAACGGATAAGCATAACACTTGCTTAATAGAGACGGTTTACAAAGAGCCATTTGGAAGCCTAATTCTTTAGGGTAATATTTAATCATTCATCGAAAGCAGAAAACAAGCTAGGGTTCTACAAAGTGAGGCTATTATTTGGATAGCAAAGAACAACCACACTAAGCTCTGTAACACTGAAAAGACCTTCAACTCATCAGGTGTCAACCTGAGATTAGAAATTGGGCAAAATATCTTGCTCACACCAACTGAAGAGGAATACGAGTGATTAAAAAGCCATTTTCGATTCCTCAAACTACTGACTACCCTCTCGGGGAGTGCAAAAGCTGTAAAATGCATTGCTACTCATTGTAAACTATTAGTAAGGGAAAAAGACAATGACACCTTTGCAGAAGGAAGACAAATCGGATAAAGAAAATTGACGAGCTATTATTCTAACGTCTTCAAACAATGGTTCACCTATCATATTATTTCAATATGTCAGGCCAATACAAGCCTGTCATCTAAAGACTTCCTAGGGAAAATAATACAATCAGGTCGGAAAAATCAGATTGTAAATGTAAATAATAAGAAAATTAAGCAGCTTGATTGGTGTTGAAATGATGATCAAAAAGTAGTATCACTATGAATCTCTTATTGTTAAAACTTTGTTGTGCTTATTTGTATAATACTTTAACTGGTATAAAATTTAAACCTTCTTCTCAGCATCGTCGCCTAACAACAAAGAGAAATTACAAAGCGAAAGGGGTATAGAGAGCAGAAAATAGCCACTGCAATTCATTATCTTACGGTAAATAATCACACTTGACAAGTTGTTAATTTAATATGTGCTCCAAGAATCGATGTTTGGCGACAAATAGTAGCCCACGAGACTAGCTTCCTAGACCTGCTCAGAAACTTTGTCTCCCCAAACACACTGAATGCATCAATGTTAGACGAAAGCCACTAGCCAAAATTTTACAAATCTGAAATAATGTTGCCTAGTTACAAGTAATCCAGTAATAAAGAGGGGGTATTTCAATAAGCTTTGTAATAATATAATGATATTCACTTAGACTAACGTGATTATCTTTGTCAACAACCGGTAAATGGCGCAATCCCAGGCGTCTGAAGAGAGCAAAAACGCGGGTCATTGACATGCGCTAAAAGGCAAAAAGGGGCGAATCCAGGGTCACTGAAATAGTAATAGTAATATTTATATATATATATATATACATATATAGAAAATGATAGAATTAAATATAAATTGAAGGAGATTTAATTAATCCTGTCCTTACCGAGCTTTAGCAAGTGCTCTTAATACAGAGGACATCAAAAAGTAGAACGTGTGGATAAAAGGCGTTACTTAAGTAAAGTGGTCTATTAATTAGGAAATTCACGAAACTTAAATCATATCAGAGAAGATGAAAAATAACTAAACTGGTCGAAGGAGAAGGTAAAATGGAAAGCATCTCAGAATTTAGAGGAAAAAAGGTGAAGTAAGTAAAGAATAGTTGGGTTTGCTTCAATAAAATGTTAAAATTAAGAAATCATTAATTTCACAATAGGTTAATTGAAATAGAAACACACATACACATACATACCCAAACATATAAAGACAGCATTCAAATGAAAAGAGATTGGTGATGTACCTGCCACTAGGAATACATTCGACTTGATATGAAGCTTCAGCTAACGTAATTATGAAAGGAGGTCCATCATCAAAATAATGAGGAAGACCGACAAGCTCTGGCCGTTATGGAAGTAAATTCTCAATACAAGTGGCCAGACAAATAGTAGAATTCGAATTACTGAACACCAGTCTATAAAGAATTCATTGGGAGAAATTGCACAGCATGAGTCAAGAATCAAAGTGAAGCAAAAATTTTTTATTAACCCTTATTTACTCCTCATTCCTACACACTCCCCAATTTTGTAACAACCTTTTGACCAATTTAACCGTTAACCACTTAACGCCCTTAGTACCGTATGATCCTCTTCCAGAATAAGCTCCAGTGGGACTGAACTCATAACAGAAGACGCTATTCCCGTTTGACACATGTTCAATCCGTCAGTAGCCTTCACCTGATACAGTCAAAACTCAACGCCACAGAATTAGTCTGCTGTGAGGCTTGTGTGAATGCGGTTGGGTACAGTGTTGACAAACATAATTAGGGTGTTAAAGGGTCAATTGAGTTCGGATTCATTCCAGTGATAAAACCTGAGCTACGATCTATTCCACCTTGATTATGGTAATGGTAGAGTGGCAAGACACCACATCGTTCAAAGGCAAACTCAGAATCAAAAAAGTCAGAATAATTTAAGGAATTCACACTTCAAGGTGAATAATAAAACTTTCCGTTAGTCATTTACAAAAATAAGCTTAATTATAGTAGACAATCTAGGTTAAGTATTCAAGCGTTTATTTTACCGAAATTTCAAACTTATTTGTTTTTTTCGTTTTTCAAATGCTAATTTAATTTCACAATCCGAGGAGAGTTCGTAAGTCAAAAAGCATTAAGACATTTAAACACGAGCGTAAATTAAGTTTATACATTCAGCAGGACTTTTGAAATATTATTTCGAAAATAACGAATTTTTTAAAATAGAAAATAGGTATGATTATAGCATATGCTCATCATCTCTACGGTCTATTGAGAAAAAAACCAATTACTTTCAAAATTTAGGCATTTAAATCAAATATGGCGCCTAGACCATGACCAAAGGATAAATATAGAATGAGGCTTCAATAGAAATGCCAACTATTCACAAAAATTCGCTGCAATTTCTTAAGACGCTCTGGACTCATAATTTTGAATTATGCAAACAATTCCTAGTGGTATTTGCACCACTTTTGCATAAACTTACATCAAAATCCTTGCGCACAAGCAGAAACCCGTTCGCGGAAGCCACACACTACTGACAAAGTGGCTTGCTCTGTAAGATTCAAACGCCGAGAGATCTTGCCAACTCGAGATGCCAGGAAACTTTGCATTTATAGTGATGTGTGCTTCGGAGATGAGGGAAATTTTTACAGAAACAAAAATGCTGAAAAGGACAGCACATTTTGTCGAAGCAGTATTATTAATAAGAGTGGATTCATATACGGTTGCAGCCAGCCTCCAGAAATAGAGACATCAACTGCATGAGTTAAGAAATCGGGATATCTGGTATCAGTCAGACTCATAGACTACTAAATCGAAATCAATCCTAAGAATCTTGATCATTTCTAAGTACGTATAGAATACCGACTAAAGCTTTTTATCCAAAATGTTCAAGGCCATTGAGCGATATCAGAAGCGCAATAATGGGACTCACCTCAAATACACTGTAAGGTGACGGATTCATGTAGGGTCGGAAATCCAAAAGGCGTTCGAATTCATAGTCTTTAACCCCCAACAAAACATCCTAGAAGTAGGAGAATGTACAATAAAGAAGGCTAAATTAATACCTGTAAAAAATTAAGAAAAATGTACCTTCAGTCTGTAGAATCGTGGATAAGCGTCATCAAAATCATTAGCAGTCAAATGTGGAGGGGTTTCTGTTTCGTTCTGGGGTAAATAGATCTAAAAATGATGAACTTTAATAATAAACAATCAGACTTTGGGCATACGTCCAGCCATAGCCACCATAGATGTGAACTGACACAAATATGATGAAATGCCGTTGCTGTGGCTAACGCCTCTCAACCGACAAGTGCACTTCTCAGATTACAAATAGCCAATATGCCAATAATAATGATAATAATAGTTTCGGTGGTGATGCAGTAAATTTGGTTAACTAAATGCTTAAATTGGCACAAGCAAAAGATTAAAGCCCGATATGTACTATATCGAGCGTAAAATCTCCTTAAGATCAATAAAGCTATAAAAGGGTGCAATAAATAGGGCCAATTTCCTTGGAAAAATACAGAATTGAGAGCAATATAATGAATGGGATTAAAATTAACCAATACAAGGTAAATAATTTCCGAATAAACTAAAGGAACCACTCATTCCGATTAAAAAGAAAGGGTTGATAAATCGGCTCTAGCCAATGAAGTTTCATTGCTTAATATTTTACCACCAGGGGTGTGCGATAGACTTGCCTCCACGTGGTGTACCCTGGGCAACGTATATTCATACGGCAAAAATGTCTATTAACTGGCAGTTGACTTCTAATTTCAAACCACCATCACCTCACTCTATGCCATATTCGACTACTTCCACAAAACTCACCTCACCATTTTCTCTACCTTTGTGTCTGTCTTCTTCTTTTACATCTTTGAAACACTCTTTTGTTCCTCCCCCCTCTCGACTTTTTCCAATTTGATGTTTCTTCCCCTCTGTNTATATATATATATATATATATATATATATATATATATATATATATATATTCGTGAGTTAGAGATTGGATTTATTTAAATTTTCATAATCTAGCATTTCAAAAATCAATTTCATTTGTTCCCTACAAAAATGAAGAGTAGAGTTAGAAGTGACAAAAGGTAAATTACTGACGACATCCATAATGAAGTAACTCAATGTTTCAGATTCTCTTAGCACAATTTCTTCCATTTTGGTTAAAGCCGCAGCCAAAAATTGAGTAATTTCTGTAGCTGCAATCTTTCAATATCAAAAATCTAATCTTTCTATTTTGTCCCACTCACAACAACATAGATTATTTTAATTTCAATTCTTACTGTTTTCCCCACCTCACATGGAAGAACAAAAAAAACAGTTCATCTTTATTTCCAAAATAGTCTCCAATGATGTTTATCCAAAGTCCTCGCTCTTACAAGAAAATCATTATTACCTGAAGGCGAGTAGAATATAGATAGCCAGACAGAATTCGAATAGATCGTGCAGAAAACTCAAGACCTCATTAGCCATTTGAGCATATCTAGAAGATGTAATGGCCAACTACATTGGTCAAAAGTTGTGGTTATTGAAAGAATTTGGCCGAATTCGAGTTCTGTTCCACCCACCCCCCATTTCTTAGTTTACTGTTTACACTTAAAAGTAATGCTTTGGCTTCAAATAGATCAGCGCCGACACATCAAACTAGCCTTTAGGAAAATTATTTTCTGAACTCTTTAACTGAACAATAATTTCGAATTTGGTCTGCGTTAGTAAGCTAGAACTCCAAAAATAATAAACACTTTCAGTTTGAAAGGATATGACGAGCTATCTTTGCGGTGTAATTGTTGCTTCGAATGCCCAACCTGGCCATGGGACAAAATACAATTCACTTTTGGACAAATTTTTCGATTCACAATTTGGGGTTATTCAAGGTTGTAATAAAATAGCAGCCGTATGCAGAAAAAAACACCACAAAACACAATTTTTCCCAAATGTAATGACGTGTTTCATAATTGTGGTTGAGTTGTCACGCAAAAGGCCTATTTGTTTTGTATACCTTCCCAAAAAACTACCAGAATACTAATGAATAAAATGCAGTTGGATTTTCTTAAGGGGATATTAGGGTAGACACAGGAAACTATTTATAATTTATGACGCTTCAAAGTCATTTGAGTATGAAGAGAGAAGGAAAAATTATTTGAAACAGTAAGTCCGGCCTTGTTTGACTAAGAAGTTTTAAAATTAACAGGAAATACTTTGACACGTATCTGATGGAATCCAGGCGCTGAATCATGCAAATTTTGAGTTTGAAACGTCAGCTATCCGTAATCGAAAGAAGTTAGACATTTTGGTGCCTTAGTGGCATCATGCTGATCATATCCTGTTTACCATTTATTGGACTTTCCGATTTGCCAATCTCAACTGCTTTCCTGGTTTAAATATTTTAAACAAGGAGTGGGGGTGCGCGATAGACTTATCTCTACTTGGTGTACCCTGGGCAACGTTTACTCATACGGCAAAAAAGCCCATTAATTGGCAGTTGACTTCTCACTTCAAATTATCATCACCCCACTGTATATCCTATTCCACCACTTTCACAGTACTCACCTCACCTTTTCTCTGTCTTTGTGTCTATCTGCCTCTATTACATCTTCGAATCATTCTTCTCTTCCCCCTCTCTAATTTTGTGATTTTGATGTTCCTCCCCTCTGTGAAGCTTGAAGTCAACTAAAGGGCTAACGATACCTATCATAAAGCCTGCCATTTGATAAAAATAAATATTTTAAACAGTGTCGTTATGCAGTTTTGAAATAGTGAAGATAAACGTAATTCAAATGTGTAGTTGGTTAGTACGCTCTAACCTACATATGTGTCTAATTTATAGCTAAGTTGGAGCTTTTGGTATTCCTGGGAGAAAGGTGCTCAAATGTGACATGACAAATCTCACGGGCTCATTAAATGTACCCATAACAATATCAATACTGCAAAATATAAGGAAGAAGCAAGCTATTTCAGCTAGACGCGAGGCGCTGAAAGTAGTCAAGGTAGTGTTAGTAGTGATAGTTGAATACTGCGACTTGCTTTCTGTGGGTTTTTGAAGTTGTCTTGGGTTGTCCAAATTTGCGGGTTTATGGGGAGGCATGTGCCAGGGACTTTTAGAACTTTCTGCTTTTCTGATAGCGGTGAATGGATGTTGATGCCAATTCACTTCATTAGTATAAACTAATAATCAATAGTGCGTATTTGAACTAAACACTAATAGTTTTAGCTGCACAATTTTACAAACTACCCAGTTGACTCTGGACATCGATTTATGTTTGATGTTAAGTATTTAGAGAGTTGAGTCATGATCGGTTAATCCTCTAGCCAATAAGAAGGTGGATGAAGAATTCGCTTAATGTAAGCTTCTTTGATACGCTTGCGACCAGCGTTTGGCCCGAGTAAAGCCGCTTTTATGATGGAACTAAGGCAGGGCTATAGGAAGCAATAACATTTCCCAATATCAAAATAACGACCTGTAGAAGTAGATCAGTGGTGTTTTGAACGATTGAAGGACAAGGCGACGAGGAGGAAAGAATTGATAGTTGGAAGTGGAAAGCTAATTGACACGGCAAGATTGGATACTTGTGAGAGAGACTGAGAGGGAAAATCAACTAATCTAATTTCGCTTCTGCTTCACACCATCAACTAGTGGCTGGTCTTAAACTAAATTCGTGTTAATGTGACTCGACGCGACAATTAGATCGAGTAAAGTCAAAGATCACCGCCTTCAAATAAATTTACTTATAACTAATTGATTTATAATTTCTGCTGTAGGAGATTATGTATTCTTACGTATGCTTACAAGCTTCTACTTAATCAATATTTAAACATCGATTTACGTTGGCATAAAGAAGTTATTGGTTAAAATTGAAAACGGGGAATATACTTTGTCTACACCTCAAAGTCCCGCAGGAATTATCAACTCAAACGCTTTTAGCAGACGTTAATACATTTTTTATGCATCTCGTGGTTTTTTTTCAAAGGAATGCTAAATCAACTAGGGAGTTAGGGTGGAAACTGGAAGTTCAATTCACAATTGAATTTTAACTTAATACTCCTTTCGAATGCTTAATGCTGCGGAGGTCAACAGTAGTTTTGCCGATTTAGCAGAGGATTATAACTCATGGTCAGTATTCAAGGAAGGTGAAATTCTCTGGAGATTCGAGTTTGGTAGTGAAGTACTTTCAATAAGTTCCGCAATTCCCGCTGAAAATTTGGGAATTTTGGCTACAAGCGATCAAGGAGTAAGAAACCGGGTAATCAGGATACATTAAACAAATGAATTTCACAAGAGCTCTATTCGTATGTTTGAATTCAGCCGAGGATTCTCGAGCATTTCAGGTAGGTTAACTTCACCCCAAAAAAGATAACCATAGGTTGGGAGTTATTATCAAGGGGCAGAAGAAGTCTGTATACTCTCCATGTGGATAAAACTGGCTAAACCTCAAAGGTCAAAAGTTGAAAAAGTGGAACAATGGAGTGCTAATTCTAGTCACGAGTCATCAGTCTAACAGGATGAATCGACCTGTGGTGAGGATAGAAATGAGTCAAGTTAATGAATTAATCAAAGCAATTTTTGAGAGACAATTATTGGTAAACAAATGAAAAAATATGTGCTATGCTATCAATTTAGAACCAACCTAACCCAAAAACATTCAAAGTTCATTCGACTATTTTTTGCTCTGAATCATTAATTCCAAGTGAGTCAAGACTTACGATTACATTTCATATGTTCACAAAGCCTGAAATTCTTTTTAGATTACATTTAAATTAAAATGGTGAAATAAATGAGATATTTTATTACTTTCAGCGAGATTTAGACTGTACTCATCAAACTTTATGTACAAAAAACTCTGTTATTGTTAAAATAAACTAATTGAAACTAATCTAATCAGATTAGGAGATAATTCAGTTGTGGAATTGTGTCCGAAAACAGATTAAAATATAGTCTCTGGGGAGGGGGGGGGNGCAGTAAATTTGGTTAACTAAATGCTTAAATTGGCACAAGCAAAAGATTAAAGCCCGATATGTACTATATCGAGCGTAAAATCTCCTTAAGATCAATAAAGCTATAAAAGGGTGCAATAAATAGGGCCAATTTCCTTGGAAAAATACAGAATTGAGAGCAATATAATGAATGGGATTAAAATTAACCAATACAAGGTAAATAATTTCCGAATAAACTAAAGGAACCACTCATTCCGATTAAAAAGAAAGGGTTGATAAATCGGCTCTAGCCAATGAAGTTTCATTGCTTAATATTTTACCACCAGGGGTGTGCGATAGACTTGCCTCCACGTGGTGTACCCTGGGCAACGTATATTCATACGGCAAAAATGTCTATTAACTGGCAGTTGACTTCTAATTTCAAACCACCATCACCTCACTCTATGCCATATTCGACTACTTCCACAGCACTCACCTCACCTTTTTTCTACCTTCGTGTCTGTCTCGCTTACATCTTTGAAACACTCTTCTGTTCCCCCCCCCCCACCGTCTCGACTTTTTTTCACTTTGATGTTCCTCCCCTCTGTGAAGCTTGAAGTCAACTAAAGGGTTAATGATAAACATCAAGACGCCTGCCATTTGATATAAATATATTTTACCACCATTGCTATTGCGATTCATCATTTGATTGACTTGTTTGAAATCGGTAGCAATTAACTTAATGAACACTACTCCTTTACAACAGAAGACGAAAGCGCTTTTAAGTGTTGACAGAAAGGTCCCTCCGAGAAGCCTTGGTGCACAAATACATAAGCGATAACTATACAACAGAGAAGATAGGACACTGGCGAAAGTAACATTGAAATGTCATGCAGCAAAACTGTGCGCCTATAAATCTGCATAAATAAGAACGTCCAATAGGTATACTACACAAGCGTTCGGCATTAAAGAAAGGAAAATTCGGATGATGGATCCAATATAGAATTCTATTTGCTGCAGTATTGAACATAAACGCTACTCGAAAGGTGCATGAAAAAGGCAAAAATATGCAAGAACTGCCGATGCCAGCAACTGTTTGCAAACGGAAGCGAGATGAGAAGGCACTGGGTGGATCGATAAACACAGACCCAGAGACGATGAGCCAACTGGGTGTTGTGAAAACAAATGGAATCTTTTATTAGTGGTTGCCAATATGAAGACGAGAAGATAAGACAAATCTGATCAGACGTTAAATTCTAAAAAGTACTTGGCTTAATGATTCAGGGGACTAGATGAAATATGGTCCTATCTCATTTTAAAATTAACAAACATTTCCCTTTTCGTAACTTTGAATGCATCAAAGATTATTAAATGATTTTAACTACCATGGAATGCATATTTATATAATTTACCTTCTTCTTTATCATGAGGGCAATATAACTAGCAGGTATAACGCCAATAAGTTGGCCATAGTTGAAATTGTCTGGGTCTTTATCGCCCTCAACTACAGGGAAAGCGTGATGGGGGTGATCAAAGATAAGACGATGAAGGTCGCCAACAGACATAACAGGGTCAAGGACAATGGCCGGAGAGGTCATTATATCAAGAGCACGAAGCTGCACACACATTGCACTTATCTCCCACGGAACAAGAGCCATGCCAGCTAGATTGATGTGCACATCATAGATACCCTAAATGAAAAAAAGGAGTGATACTTTTGTTTAAACAAGTTTAAAATTTTAAATCTTAAGGAAGGCGTCTGAATAAGGGGAAGAGCAGCAAATTTAGCCAGATGTAAAGGCGGAGGAAGGATGGGAGGGTAAGAAAGAGGCTTAGGGGAGATGTTTGCATTTCATGAACCGACTCCACATCAGTTGGTGAGTAATTGACTGGTTGATCCAGTTCCGGGGTTCATCATGTCATCTAGTTTTAATTATTTACAGAAGGCACTAGCAACACTTAAACATTTCTAATTTAATCAATCCCGTTTATGTTTAATAGCAGATCTGAAGCAATTGGCACTGCGTCAAGATCAGCGTTAAAGAGTAGGTTGCCTTCTGCCTAATTTGCGCAATCAATTCGAATATTAATTCACACTTTTCTTGTAAACGGCACAAATAAGTATTTGCACACACACGGAAGTGAATTTCGAGACTCAGATCACTTGCATTTATATGAATCGTAAATCTAGTTAAGTTCATTATTGTCCATTAAGTATGGAACATCTCAAATTATGTTATTCTAAAATATTTCAGGTGAAACGCCATTGAAATTAGCAAGCATGTAGCCATTATTAATAAACACTATTAGGCTATTAACGATTATTAGTGCCAACAATTTGTAAAGGCGGAAATCGCAAAGATAAATGACATCATGATGGTGGCTGCTAAAATTAGGCACAGGCACTGCAGACGGTGGAGGATCGCGTGTTTCAAATTATAACTTATTGTGATATACGAGCGTCATTCCCTGCGGAAGTAAAATGTTAACTGAAATAAGCGGAAGTGGCCAATCCCATTTCCAAGGTAATTAAACTCAATATGATAGTCTGTGCTTATTCATGGTCTACTTAAGTATCACAGTCCAATTAGCAGATTGAGTACTTTTATTTCGACCAAGGTTTGAGAAAGCAGACGGTTCTTACACACATTTGAGTAACATACAGTTTTTTTAATAACAAGGCTGAGATAGCTACGCTGTTTTGACTTATCCGCATTTAAGGTGGCAAGTATGTGGTGTGCTTGAGTAAGAACACGTCCTATCAACCAACCTCAGTAAAATAGTCTCCAATGTATTTGGCAGGAATGAGAGTAATGAGCAGAGGAAGGCCGAGGATAACGTTTCCCGTCGCTTCCATTAGAATAACCGTAAGACTGGCGATCATTCGCACAATACCCCCCAGCTGGGCTGCGGCTCCAATAAGAGCGAATTTACTCGGATTGGGAAAGGTTTCGGGAGAGGCTGCGTATAAGTAATCACCTAAGGGAGGAAGAGTAAGATGCATATATTGACGGTTATCGGGAAAAAATGCATGAATTTACGTTGGATGGATAGAATTTAGAGAAATGATGCCTGATGAAGGTATCAGGTTTCAAAAGGTGATCCTCTTTTTATATCTGGGGTAGCAAATAAATGCGGATAGGACGGTGGCGAAAGCTTTAACGCGTAGCATCTCCAGAGCCAGATGGCAACTTGTAAAGTTTCGACCCATTTTAAAAATAAAACCAAGGCTAATTGAGATCTTCATAGAGGTAGCAAAGAGAACATATTTGTGAAATGCTACACAACTAGGCAACAAAGGAAAAAGACGATTTCGATTTTGCGGTGCTACAAAAACCGACAGAAGCACAACTGAGACTAGTTGATAAAGACAATATTTTAGGTTTGGCCAGACTGTCATAGCCACAACCAACAACTACAAGACTCCCTATCTCCACTTCAAGGAAATTCAGGCGAAACTACTAAGTATACATGAAGTGCAATACTCTTGCACTATCAGCGAGTGTCTGAAAATGTTTGCTTAAAAAGAGTCATCACATGCTACTCTGATTGAGGCATGAAGAAGCTGTTAAATAAATTCATGCTCTCCACCCCCCCCCCCTCCCTATCTATCTTGTTAAATTAAATACTGGTATGCATCGAGATATAAAGCTAAGTTAGACAGACGCCTCTCTTCAGGAGGAAAACCTACCGATAAGACGCCCCCATGTAGCACCGAGAAGTAGAGATGGAATAAACAGGCCGGAGGGAACACTCACACCGTAGGTAATACAGGCGATAAAAAAGACATATGGAATGAAAACAATGAGTGTTGTTTCATTAAATGAGCTTGGTGGATCATGGAAGAGAACTTGAAGGGCTTTGGATGGAGTATTGAACAGAAGACTACTGACTCGGTTATACTCCCCATCAACACAGAGAATCTGTATATAAGAGAAGAGGTGAAAAACTAAAATAGCATTAGCAAGTAACTTATTTGCAAGGAAGTAGACTGACCTTATGTGAGGAGTCTGTATTCTTCTGAAAACCTGAACGGCAATCTGCCATGAGAATTAGGATTGCAAAGCTTGATACTGCAGTGAAAGCACTTATTAACACGGCATCGATAACTTTTGCCGATCTGAATTTCATATGCCTAAAATGCGAAAGTGAAACTAGTCGAGTATGTACCTCTTACTTAAATAAATATAGTAGCAATTATTAAATTATCTTAAATCACAACCAATCAAGACAGATAAGCAGGAAAATTAGCGGAGTCTGCTTCTCAACCTAGAGGCGTATCGTGGATTCCTTACTCGTTACCTGCGCTATATCCTCAATACTATAGGTATACTTCCGCTTGTTCAAATATTAAGACGTTTTGTACTTTAAAAATAGAGGGATATATTGCTTCCTCGGGTATAGCCAGTACATAACCTGCGCAATGCATAAGTGAAAACGCAGTTTCTTAATAACTTCCTTCTCACAAGCGCTTTGTAATTTTTCAAAAAGTTCTTTAAATGTGCATTCACTACTGTACAAACTCGAGAAATTGAGAGTCAGTAAATAGGATTAGTACAAAATAATTCAGTTACCGTGACAATATAGTATTATTAACAGATAGAGCATACCTGTGATTATGTCATAGTCTTATCAGCATTCCCCATGAAAAAAAATGTTCATGCCGCAAAATCAGAAGTACTGCCATTCGACCAACATTCACTATGGCGATTTTCTGTCTAATGTGTGATCGAAATGGTAATTTAATTTACAGTTCATTGGCTTAGATTCCAAAGTTATTAATATTGATTAGTCTCAATTACAGTAAGGAATACTTTATTACGAGTGCTAAATTCTTACAACGGAACATAATTCCATCAATCACACAGATGAAAGTCGTCTATCCTTTGAAGCTAGTAAAAGTGAACTTGACTAAGCCATGAGGAAAACGATATCGAAATATATCAAAACAATATTGTGAAACGCATAAGTTGATAATTAAAATAAATGGTTGCCTTCAGAAAACTTCCTAAATTCTATTCATACATCCAAACGTCAACTATTGAATAGTCCTGACAAGATATAAGTAGTACATTTCAAACTTACGATTGCCTATACTTGGAGACAACTTTATTAAGACCAACAAAAAAAGCTCCAACAAAGCCACCGAACACCCCCATAAGAACAAAGATCATCAATTCATAGGCGTTGTAGGAGGTGACCGTCTAAAATAACAACCAGGAATTAGTCTCAGTTGCTTCGTCCTCGACTTTCGTTTTGGACGTTGATATTACCTCAAACATGCCAAAGCTAACTAAACCGCCGGGTGTAAAGCTGAAGGGTTGGCCGTCGATGATACTTCGAAAGAGGGCCAAAGTGAACATTGAGGTCACGGATGTGAAAAGCTAAATAAAAATAGAGAAAAAGTAAAGCATAGGCAAACTCTTGAAGACTGTAGAGATAGTCGTAGAAAAGCAATCACCTAAGATGAAATGTTCCCTATGTTAAAACAGATAAGAAAAATATACCGTGATACACCGAGGTAGGGGCATCCCAAACATGGGACAACATGATTACCGATGGCATAATTACCTGACCTCGACATGACGGTCATGTACACTCGAAACAAAATGACTTCATGGCAATATTCATTGACTATTAACTTAGTTTGAGTCCTTATAAGAAAAAGTAACCACCAGATTTCAATCTGTTTACATACTTAATTGCATAATCAAAATGCCATAGACATGGGCAATCACCATCGAAATGTCAGAACGAATAGAATTTACTAATTGTAAGTCATAGTTAATAACAATTAATGTACAAGTAAATTCGGGCCAGGAGTAGAACCACCTTCAAGCATTTTGAAGTTGGCAAACCAGCTGAATGGCAACTTCTGTTATAAGATGAATGTAGACTGGCTTGTAAAAAATGCTCTATTGGCCAAACACAAACGAGCCAACTATCTTGTAACCCCCNCCCCCCCCCCCCCCCCCCCCCCCAACAAATGCCTTTATGGTTGATCTTTTTTTCTACCAGAATGATGATAATGCACACATCAAATTATGGGTAAAGCGGTACCAAATGCACCTTTTGTTGTAGCAAAATCGGTGGTTTCGGAGTCGTGATCTCTTGATTTACAGCCTTCTCTTGCTTAGTAAAATATGCCATTATAATTTCCGTATCCCTTGTTCAAATCAAATAATTAATATGGATCTTTGAAATTTACAGATCTCCATTTCGATATTACCTAGTTTCTGATAGCGCGGGCTTTCTCGTAAGAGAAAAATCTAAGTACATTCCATGTCATCAACCAAGAGTCCAACCGCCTCCTTAGTTTAATTTTTCCTCGAAATATTTTAAATTCCGAAACTGTCGATTTATTGTGTCAGTCGATTATATTTATAGATAGCTCTTCTAGACGACCTGAACAGGGTGTGGTAAATTCATCAGACATCATGAATTCTCCTTACTAGAATAAAAATGACAAATTGCCAAATTGTGAAATAAAAAGGGATAACTGCAAAGTAAACTATATCAATCAACGATAAAATGCGTCCTCCATTACCCTATTAAAATGGCATTTCTAATATGTTAATTAATCCATCAATTTGAGCAAATGGGGTTAATGAAAATCTATTTATATTTATATCCAATGGCAGGCATTTTGATAGTTATCACTAGCCCTTTAGTTGGCGTCAGGCTTCACAGAGGGGACGGAACATCAAAGTGAAAAAAAAGTCCAGGGGGGGGGAGGGTGAGAGGGAACAGAAGAGTGTTTCAAAGACGAAGGTAGAAAATTTAGAAAAAATGTGATGTGAGTACTGTGGAAGTATTCGAATATGACATACAGTGGGGTGATGGTAGTTTGAAGTGAGAAGTCAACTGCTAGTTAATAGACTTTTCCCTAAGAATATACGTTGCCCAGGGTGCACCACGAGGAGATAGGTCTATCGCACACCCCGGTTTAATGAAAATCGATGGCATACAGTACTTTCCTGTGGACAAAGGAAAAATCTGCAAGTTTTCTCCACGGTAAAGCCAAAGGAAGATACGTACATACACATCGAATGAACAATTGGTAGATTAACTATGAATACACTATCGTCTTAAAATGTAATTTCTGTCAGAAAAGCGAAATTAAAAATATTGATTATATGTACAAATGACTCAAATAGACCAGACAGATTAAGTGGTAGATACTACCTCCTACATCCTAAGTTTTAAATCCATCCACTAGAATCCACGAAAAAAACACGGAATATCGCTTGAAAGTATGGTATTTATTTGACCACTCAAATGTGTTCTAATTGTGCATGTAATCAAACAGGACTCCTCGGTAGTTCCCGGTGCTTCACATATAAATAGAAGGCTACAAATCAAACGCTATAAGTACGTCTATCTTGAATGAAAAGGGACAACTTTAGGGTGTAATTAAATGGAATTTGGAGTAATAAAAAAACTAAATGAAAAACCAAATTGATTAATCCCCTCTCATGGATTAACAAACAAAGAATATTATTCCTACGAAGACGCCATAAGAGAGTAACAATCCATCACTATTTAGTCATTTAAGAAGAACAGAAATGTTAGCGGCAATAAATGAGATCCTCACCTAATAAAGGCAAGACCTTAAAATGATTTGGCAAATGTGAGAGTAAACTTATCGGAAGTATACATTTTTTAAAGGCATTGTGATTATGTATAGATCGATCCAAATGATTATAGCACGGAGAGTTAAATAAAGTTGTAAGTAGTAAATACAACTATATAAATTTACTTCAGTTCATATATGCTAGAAGCTGTATGCAGACCTTCAATATTTTAAGCTGCTAGAAAGCATTGGGTAACCTCGCACAGTCATCAGATTTCAGCTGCAAAGTAACTAGGAACCAGTTTTTTGGAGAAAGTTCCCTCCATATGCAACAAGTCATTCAATTTACACCATGCAAAAATAAAGCCCAGAAAAAAGTAAATCATGGAAGCCAACTCACTGTGTCCCAAGTGAGTCTCTGGGATATAAAACTAGCGCCTTCCTCCAGAGTGAACAAAAGTCCTCCGACAGGAGCGCCAAAAGCAGCCGCAACACCAGCAGCTGCACCAGCATTAACAAAGTCCCTCTTAATCGGATCATTACGAAAGCATCGAAAGAGTCTACTAGAAAAACCGCACCAAGTCAGGCGACCCTGAGAAATTCCAGCTGCTATTACAGCCCCGACGTGGATCATCGGTCCTTCCTTGCCCACGAAAAGACCACCACAGACGGCCAATACCACTCCTATAGCTTTAATCAGCATTGTTTTCCCGCGGAGAATGAAAGGAATATTTAATCCGTTTAGATAGCATTTAATTTGGGGTATCCCGCTACCTCCAGCAACTGGCTAAAATGTGAAGACAGAAACATAATCTAATAAAAGCAAATGCTAGTATATCCAGAAAATAAACTTACAGCAATAATCACAGTCAAAAGAGCAGCCGTTAAAATAAAGAAGCAATTTATGGCAGACCATACACTTCCAGTTACAAGAACACCCCAATAGGTATTGTATTTGGTGAATAGGTATTGAAGAAGAAGATACTTATTCGAACAAATTATATTAGTTAAGAAATCAATAAGTGAGGCCACACTTCCAACTGCTAGACCAATGATGAACAGTAGTACATAACGAAGGCAAGTGTTGCGTAAATTGTTCTAACATTAAAGCAAACGTAATAACTTTAAAGTTGGTTTACTTTTCGGCAAGATAGAGCCATATCTAGCTTGATGGCAGGAACCTCTGGAGTATCATATTCTAAGCTCTAAAAATTACAAATCTATATTAACGATTACTTCATATTTTTGATCCAGAACTTCTTCGGCAATTACAGTATTAGCGTAAATTGATAAATGCTGGTCAGACTGAACACTAATATATTCATTGTTTGTGCCGATTTCTTGAAAATTATCATTTACCCTTCTATAACGAATATCTTTGAATCGAAGGTTTGATTTCATTTTAGCTGTCATTGAAGGAAGAAAAACGAGAAAAAACTAAAACCACACTGTTTCAAGGCCTAGCCCAACAGCCCAATTTTCGACCTTGTATGAAACGTTGCTAAAATTCTTATTCCCAATCACGCTATTTTAGTTGTATTAATTACTTATTCATAATGAATTCCATTTCAAATCTAATTTGACCGATATATAACTTATTTATTTATTTTCAATTCCGGTTTTTTTCCTTTTATCTTTGCATATTCCTTATTATAAAAGGTCTTTTGACTACAATAATTAATCACACCTGTAGCGGTTTAGCTACCTCAATAATCTTGACTATTCTCAGAAATCTCTATAACAGTTTCTTCCCACCCGAAAGTCCCTGTGAATTAGCACGGAATACGTTTATTCGGTAAGTATATTGATAGCGAAGTGTATGTTTGGCAAAGCGATTAGTTATCAGATAACTCTAGCATGTGTTGGCAAAGCGATTAGTTATCAGATAACTCTAGCATGATTCGTGTGAACATTAATAGCTAAATATTTCTGAGTAGTGTTCTATAGCAGGATTTCTATTTGGTCATTGATGGAGTTTCCCACACACCTCCAAGTATTCACCAGCTTCGGCTATTTCCAGGTTTTGACTTGAAAATATGTCAGTTTCGTTTTGGCATGAAACTCGGGCCATATAACTTATCTTGCATAAATATCTTTCCATTGTAGTATCCAAAAGAGAGTTTTAATGTAAAAATATCCCAACTTATTCACACAAATCAAAGTGGCTTTCTACATATATATTTAAATTAGCTAACTTGTTCTCATTTAAGATCTATGGCCTCTTTTTAAATCTAACCATATGATGTGTTAATGCATAGTTTTTCTTCAAAGTATGCCATTTTAACTCTCAAAAGCGTTTATTGTATTCTTTTTCGTGTAAATGCTGAATTACTATTTGATATGCTGTATTTCGTCGAAATTGCACACATTTCCCGTAGAGTTATTTCCTTAGTAACGGTGCTCTCTAAATTGATGCGCTAAGTTGTCTCTAAAACGCCATTTCAAGTTCTAAAAATAGGTTATTGCGCAAACTAGAAATGTATTATCCAATGTCAGATCCACTATCTCTAACTTGTGTGCCTCATTAGTTGACAAGTAATGTGATACAAACGACCAACCACATGCAGATTTACAAGCCTTTGCTCCAAAAGGCGCATTGTCATTTCAGAAGCCTTCCATCTTTAATCGTGTGTCGAGCTTTTCCATTTTTACCCTATTTAGTGAATATAGTTAATTGAGGCTCTATCATAGTAATTCATACAGTTAATTATCATGTCTTAAACGGTTAATCATGCTAAAGCGTCTCTTTTGAATGAACAATTACCAAATATGTACAAAGCAATATGAAATATATGCGAAAAATAATAGCAAAATCAGGTGAATAAGTAAAGGAAATTCGTCTATTGATTCCACCATTAATTATAAAAAGCAACATTTTTTGTCAATCCCCCCCCCCCCCTCCTCTTCACAGTGCTCCATTTGCTGAAGAGGTAAAATTATATCCTCACAGTTTTGTCTACCTTGTTGAAAGATTCGACCAATTAGGTATTTATTTCGTCCCAGCTATCACAGCATTTGCACAGCACTCGCGCCAATAAGATTGCGCCCCGTGACTCCATTCATTTTCAGGAAAGTTCGAATAACGCCTACACTCCATACTAATTTATTCGTCTGTCCGCAATAATTGTTGCCAGACATTATAAAGGCCTGTCTTATATTGCGGTCAGTTTTGTTAACCTGATAAATGCTGTATTAGTAAAAGCGAGGTTTATATTCCAAGATCTCGATTCAGAAATTTGGTAACAGTAGTTCAGATTATTTAGTGGATTGCTGCACCATCAAGCCTTGACTTGCCCTCAATAATCTCCTAGTTTGGAATGGCTCCCTGGATTAGCTACTCTACCACAACAATATAGAGGAAGCAGTTGTTTGATGTGAAACACGTTTATTTAGGCTGTGTATGCCTGCCACGAAGCTGAGTCATTAAAATCCAATGAAGGGTATATTAAAATACAGGAGCTATTGATTGGTAGCTGGCTGAGAGGTTTCTGCTCTCACTACGAACGTGCTCCCAACGCGACAAGTTGCACGGCCGCACATCGAGTCATAGTGCTCATGAGATTCGTTGACCAGCCATAACAGCGTTTTGAACGCCACAGTTATTAGATCATGGGCTGCAAGTACGATTGAGTAAGATTTTTCTAAAATCCCTTTACCAGGATGTTTAAAATCATTTGAATATGTGTCAGCTAACTGCCATCTCAATCCTGACATTTCGGAACCTCTTGTGGGACACATCATCGATTAACCAACATCACGTGCAAACTCGCGTACAGACCAGGTGCGGCGAACTCACCGACATTAACCAATCAGAGACGCCCATTTGTTTTACCGGATCCGCCATGTTGATAATGACTAAGTTCCTTCCTGTAGACAGGACTGACTTGCTACGTCCTAGATAAACGTATTCCTCCTCGCTCGTCTCTTTCCTCCATAGCTTTGCAATAGCTTAGCTAGCTTGGGAAGTCCATCGATAGTAGAGATTACCGAGTAAAGTCTAGGCTTATTGGTGTAGCAGTCCGCTACACTCTACAATCTTTGAGTATCTAAAATGAATATCCGATAGTATTAAAAACAGCCACACATGTGCCCCAGTTATAGCTGATAATGAGCTAAAAGACATAACGCTCTCTTCCAATTCTCAAGTAACTCAACATCATTCCATATTCTGTTTCATTCATTTACAAAGTGGGCTGACTTTGAAGAAATTATTTATTTCCAACTGTTATTGCACACTGGTGCACTGGATGAATTCAAACATCCTATTGAATTATTAGACGAGTTTCACGCCTCTTATTATCACTTTGATTCTAAAACGCTGCCCAAATCTTAAGTTCTAATAAATAAGTACGATTTTGTGATGAAAATGACTAAGACTGAATAAGCTGACCTTCCTGGCATTTATTTATGAAGAATAGAATTCTATATAAGCTTGTAGTTAAAAGAACTTACTGAAGGCATACACAAGTTAGTGGTTTGACTCCATCTAATTATACAACACGGCTACACGTAAATAACTAATAAAGATTATCAGAGAGCTAAATCAGTATGACAAGCTATGAGAATCCCTTGTCAATCACAAAATAATTGCCGTATTTCCTACTTGTATTCCAAAAAAACAAATTAATTGCAATAATAGAAGACTATAATGTGATATTTGGAAGTTAATGCATGAAATGAAGATGAGAAAAGTCACAGAAGGTCACAATGTGCGTTAGTTGGAAAGGTATTAGGCCCTTAGGAAGTGGTAGCCGATGCGATGACTTCATGTTTATAGGAAATCTCATTCGCCAAAAAACATTCTGAAAAGTTCGGTTGTGTGAAGAGAAATTTCTCAGTCAATCTGCTATCGGCCCTGACCCAATACAAATTGTAATAAACACTCTTCACTGAAAGATGTGTCCTCAATACTGTTGAGGCGGCTTAGCTAATTTCAACCGACATTTCATTCTATTGGTTATTGTCAGAGAAGGTTGTTGATGCTGATTTGTGTAGCATATGTTAAAGCTCCAATTATTGCTTTACTTCATTGACATTATTAAAATATATAAATACTAAGATATCAGAAAGAATCGATTACTCAAACAATGGCTTTTGCAATAAGAGTACATAGAGCTGTATATGCGGCAAACGACTGGCTGTCAAGCTAGTCAACAATCCCTTTACCGCCCGTTTGATTTTTTGAAATTCACGCGTGTTATAGCAGAATGATGTCGCCGACGTGACGAGTTTTGGTGGTGTCAGGTGTAGACTATAGACACGTATTGAACATACTTCAAACGGCAATAGCGCCTTCTGCAACGAGTCTAGTACCAGTGGAGTTTATTTTGAAACAGGGCCGTACAGTCCTAAGGGCGTTAAAGGGTTGAGTCTTACAGTTCCTAGTATGGATAATCCAGTAGAACAAGAACGATGGACCCTGTAAGATTTGCTAGGGCAAATCTTAAATGTTTACCTCGAAGGGCAAGCTTAAAGTTCACTGCAGTTTTGTCAACAAACCTGATACTTTATGTAATTTTTATAACTTTCCTTGAAAGCAAAATGCGAATTTTAGGACTCCACATAACTTGCTACTTATGAGTTCAGGTGCGTAAGTTCAATGCCAGAGTAACTATCTTCAACAAGTATATTTAACTAAAAGTATGCAAATATTTAAATCGCAATTGGAGCAGGGGTAACACATTAAGTAATAACTCAAAAAACAACGGGAATTCTATGAGAATGATAACATTTGCCATATTGGCATACATTAATGACTTTAATTTGAGAATTTCAAAGGTCAAAAATTTCTACTTTATTGAGAAATGTTTCACAAACGTAAAGTTTAACCCCCTGAGATCATTAGCATAAAACCAGTTACCTGAACTGTTGACAACTGAAATAACAACTTTCTCAAACAGGAGTTATTTTGATAACAAAATGTTACTGGTGTGTACCTTTTATGGAAGAATTTATTACTGACTAACGTTAAAGATATTTCTACTAGCGAGAATATTGCAAATCGGAGATAGGGCGAAAAGTGAGTACTATCTACAAGCCTCTCATTTTTAACTTAGGATAGAGTTAAATTCCAATGGCTATAAATTTTGAAGTCTGTCGAGTGCATAAATGTAACAGATATCAAACCATAAGAATGGATACGATCTTCAGTCAAGGACTACATATACCCAGATTTGTTAATTCAACCCCCCCCCCCCCCCCCAAGTAATAAGGTCCTACGTAGTTCAGTATTAAGCAGACACTCCTTCAATCCAGATCGAATGGTAACTTGAAAATTCGACAACATCAAAGACTACTAACATAATTTTCAACAAATTAAAAAAGGCTGACTATTCGTCCAATGAATCTTTTAAATAAACCAGATAAGAGTAATCACACAAGGGGGTTACAGTTCGTCGGCGCTAGAGAAAATTTCTTTGTTCAACAACTCCCCTTATTTTCCACTTCGCCTTCTGTTGTCGAGGTCTCTCAGAAAATACGCGCATCCTCCAACAATGAGAAATGACGTCGAAAATGCAGCTATGTACCTGCAACAAAAAGAAACCAAACGCTTATAGTTGGTATACGTACACATAAATATAGTGATTTTGTTTTCATGTGACAGAGCAAGGAAAAAATAAGCACACTGAAAGAGGTAAAAATGAACGACATCGATTTAAGCACATGATAAAATAACATTGACTGGAAGTAGAACACGATTAGAAACTATTAAAAAGGACTACTCTTAGCAGAAAATAATGAACAGCCAAATAATTGTTGTGAGCTCGTTGCTAATGAAGTAGTGGAAATACATTGAGCCAAAACCCTAATTATCAACAGCACGGAGATTAACACTTACTTAGGACGCGGAATAATGTGAAATCTAGCAGGCTGATCAGTACAATTAGCGTTGGGGATTAGTGGTCATTGCAGTGAAATAATCGCCTCCAATCGCTATTGTACTTTCTGCACTCATTCTTTCATACCCTTGCAGAACTTTATGACTTACCTAAGAGATAAATCTTTATAAAGAATTATTTAGATCACGATTCAAGCACAATTCTACTATTCTGCATCAGACTCATTGTATAACAGATAGCGTCCAGGCCACTGCTTAACAAACTGACTGTCATCACCAAAGGAATTGTACATACATCCGCATTGAAAATTTAAAAATCCACCATTTCCGTCCTTGATTACCATCATCGCCATCCTCATAGCATCAGATATGGCGGATTAACTAGAACCTAGAGCGACTATTAGAGATCCTTTTTTATTTGATACATTGATCAGTAGGCATGAATTTAAAATACAGCACAAATCATAAAATTGGCAGGCAACTGACATCGGTCAGCATAATGTACAATAAGCCATAAAAGGGGAAGCAACGAAAAGGTGAGAGCGAACGTCAAAGCATCAGTCGTACATAAATTAATTTTTGAATTCAAGTTTTAAAGTTCTTAATTTAATGGTCAAAGCTCATTCAAAATTTTCAAATTCCATAAATGGGTTCGTGAACTACATGCAATGACCCAATTACTCGCCTATCGTTTGGATTTCACCAGATTTTACGGAAAACAACTTACTAGCATTGACAATAGACCTTAATTACCTCAATAGCTATGCGTATATTACAACAACAGACCTGATCTGAAACCCAACACTAAAAAACTTACAATACAAACTGAATTTAATGAGAATCAGGAATGGTGTCATCATGATGATGATAGTAAGGTAAGGGAGAATTTCCGATTGATTTGAGAGGAGAAGCGCCAAAGAGCCCATCAAAAATATGGGGATCGTTCGGACCAAGCAAAAGGTCATTGACAAAATCATTCATTGTCGCATCATTATCATTGTCGTTTGTCAATTCATCTACCGACCCGTCTTCAGTGACAGTGCCACTTGCACCTGGGTTCATTGAAACATCATTCATAAGGGGTCCATCATCTACTTAAACAACATAAAAGCAGTATTTAGCAGCAAAGTAGCAGAATTAGGATAGGTGCAAACAAGCTTTCACTTACCGACTTGATCAGAAGAATGGTTCCAAGTGAAAGAATCCGGAGGATCATTATGTGATGTGGAATTGTTGGTGTTTGCGTTTTGTGAGAAAAAGAGAGGTGTGGTGCCTTTTCTCCTTCGTGATCTTGGTATTGTTTGTACTCTATGGGATCCACTGAGACGAAAAATAAGAAGGATAATAAATCGATACGAACTCAAGAAAGGGAAAAAATAATTGAAGCTTCATTTGATACAACCATAGCGCTCAATTTAAGCGTAACAGATATGTGAGGCGAAACCAAATGTTTGTAGAATACATCTGTTACACCTACTAACCTCCAAAATAGATACGATCTATCGAACTCAATAATAACATCGGATTAAGTAAACTTCCACAATTTACTCAAGGATCCAAGAAACACTTATGCAAATTTTATGAAGAATTGTCGATTTCTTGACCTTAATTTAACCAGCTATAAGCCGTCGAACTTAATAGCATCTATTTTATTTACTTTTAAAATGAGCATTCATAAAGACATTTTTATGCGATCGTGCCCAATCTGACCGAATTCTAAGAGAACCCAATGTGAAACGAGTAACCAAAAAAAGAAGATAGAGCGTACATTGATTGGAAAAACATCGCGGAAAAAGATATGCATAATGTAAATCCTAGTTAATCTATTGCACTGATTTAATCAGTTTGATTTAAAAAACCCCCATTCATTAAAATGTTAATAATCTAACTTTCAATTGAAAGAATTCCGTGAGGTAGCTACACTATACTGTTTCGGTTTGGACACTCGTGATTTCACCGTGATCTTGAAACATAATAAAGGCAAAGTATTTAAATCTGCTTCACCAACTTCAAGAGCATAACCCTTTCTGTCTTACTATTGTAACAAAAATTTATCGAACTACAATCACTACAGTTACTTTGGCTAGGATAGAAGACCTTCAAGTCCTCTGCAAATGATTTCTACAAATTTAACTCACGATTGAGCAGATGGCAAAGCTCGAATTGCAATGACACGTCTTTTCTTGGGCATAGAAGAAGTGTCTGCATTGGCGTGCTGTTTGTCACTACCATTTGGGGACGTTTGAGAATGTTGTGGTGGCTGAAAAGCGGAAGGATCCTGATCAAACAACGGAAAAGGCTCAAAGACATTTGATATGCTAGGTTCAATGTCGGAGAGGCGATAATTGGGAGAAAATTTATCCAATGGATCAAAGGGATAGCCAAAGTCCTGAGCATCCTCTTCGGCTGCCTGAAATGTGTAGGCAAATATTACATACTAAGAAAGCTTGCAAGTATAAAAAGAGCAGCTGGAATAAGTCTAACAGTCTCATAAAGTAAAAAAAGAAGTAAATAATAACTGCAATATTTAATAGATTGAAAAGGAATTCCATAGACAAGCAAATCCCACTATTAGCAGACTACTCAAAAGAACTCCATTTTATCAAAATCCCATCTCGGAAACCTTAGCAAGAAAATTACACACCTTGAATGGATTCTACCCAATAACTTTCTCTACAGTACCCCATGTGTTGTGCTTTTCATTATTGAAAAGGTTATTTCCACAAATAAAGAACCGCATTGTTTAAGCTTAAGAATTTAAATTTTCCAAGAATCTTCTTTACATTTTATAAAGCTAATTCCTAGGGTCTTTTCTGCTAGAAGCCGCATGACTAGAAGTAGTGAGAGCCTTCGATGAACGCAAGCTTTTTGAAAGAGGCTGAAACATTCAGTTAAACATGGTAGTAATGGTCGAATTCAGATGGCATAGTGACCCAACAAATTCCACGGCAAATATTTGAGGAAATATGCAGTGTGAGCGAAATCAAACTAGATCATTTGTTATGCAGCATTCAACCAGCCACAACAGCCTCGTAACCTCCATGCAATTCTCTTTAATTATTTAAATGCCTTCAAGTCGTTCATACTCATGACACCATCAATATGAAAAGGGTAGGATCTTAAATTTCAAAGTAAGAGTCTGAGTGAACAACCTAAGGAAAGCTAGAATGAAATTTCAGATATATATATATATATATATGGTAATGTGCTACAATTTGACAAAAAATAAGAAGTAAAAGTATTTAAAATATGCAAAAATGGAAACTAAACAGAATTACAATTACATTACAATTGATTACTAATTAGAAATTGAAAATGAAATTAACAAAATCTACTAACCTTCAAAGAGGTATTTTCAATACAGTTTAAGGGTTCATCAGAATCAATGAAGTCCTGGTCAATAGAAACATCCTCAGGACGTTTAGATGATCGAAAATTATCATCAGTTTGAAGCACTGAATTGTTAGCATTGGAGGAACCAGGTTGAATCGACTTGTCTGTACAATGTGCTGGAACATCTTGAATAGCTAAAATGCGGGGTTGTGGAAGTGTACCACTTGACGTAGAAGGACTAGGTACCATTTCAACAACCGATGAATTGGATGGAGAGAAAATTTCAGGAGAATCTGGAAAAAAGAAGCATTAGTAAATAAGAATAATTATAAAGAAAAGTTTAAAAAGTTCATACTAGAACCGCTTTGGGGGAAAAATATTTGCGCAAAGTGCGGATTCGAAGCCAGAATACGTCTTCCCTCGGTTATTGTCTTTGGATCAATATTGTACTCCACTTCGCCCGAACTCGGAGCACCAGTAATAGCCAACTTGCGTTTCGCAGGACACAGACGTATCTTATTACCTCGCGTGTCCATAGTGAACGCAGAGAGAACATTAAAAAGCTAAAACAAACATACAATTATTGATGTGATAAATAGCTTTACCGTTTGGATTAGATTTCCTTGGCGTTCAATTTGGGTCCTAAGTGAATTAATTTGACGATGGAGAAACTGGTTTTCTTGGCGCAAAAGCGTAAACTGCTGATTAGTGGCTTCTTGACGTAATTTTAACTGGCGTACAACTTCTGCAAGTTGGTTAAAATCGGAGCTAAAGGCATATCGACCTGGATGGTTAATTGACGAATTTTCTCGAGAACCATTTAAAGAAGCAGCATCACCCGTTCGCATATTCTGCAAGAGCATACTCGTTGGAAAACCATAATTTGGATGTTTCCTTTGAATTTTGGTCATTAAGGATTCATCGTCGCGGATAAAATAAGGATGACAAAATTCCATGTTCTCAGAATCAGAGCTGAAGCCGACATATGTTTCTGCTCGATTTACCTTTCGGAAACCATCTGAAAAATAAAAACTCAATACCAAACTTACACATATTTAATTGCCTTATAAAGCTAGACAAGTTATTGTGCTTAAAAAGCATCGGTAAAACGTCTTTGGCCAAGCGATTTCCATCTCGAATATGAAAGCTCTTTCCACTCTACAAGAAACATTAAAATATAAAATTAAGAAAATTCTTACAGGATCCCAATAAATAAATGCATCTGTTTTGGCATCGTCCACAAGCAATCTCAGTTTACTGAGAAATGCAGGCACACTTGAAGACTGATGATGCATAAACCGCAAGAAATTAGAAATTGCGTCCAGGTAGACCGCACCGATAGACTCTTCTTAGGCCCTTAATGGAAAACAATAATTTTATTTATGATTTAGAGACATATAATTTTATTAAATTTTAGGATTTTTTTATACAACTAAACGCTATTAGTTAATCATAAATTTATATAAATTTATTTCCCAATAAACGTCGATGGCATTGTCTTTTCTATTTAAGTATTGCTTTAAAAAATTATGTAATTAATTTTTAAGGCTTTATTCTTAATTTACTGTTTTGAACTATATAGCAGGAGACCATACTAGTAATAACCCGCATGAAAATGCCTTTTCACGAACACGACTAAACACACTAATCAACTACATGCTGTCGGAACATAGTACCAAAATGAAATTTTTTCAATGTGCTTCATTGACATTTACTTGTTTTCTGCGGGCTATTGGATATTTCGAATTGTGCTCTTGGTACATGTGTTTGTTAGTCTAGCCCAGTTTCGGTTTGTTTCGGCTATAGTTTTCTATTTTTTAAGTTAGCGTACTGTTATCGTTTTCTTGATGTCTGCACAACAGATGATTGCAAACAATAAACCTGATCCATCGATTGTAATTTTACAGCTCAGCTATTTTATGTTGCTAGAATTCTTCACTTCCCCGCAGAAGAGATGTTCCATTATTTACATTGCCAACTCAAGATGATATAAATGCCGATGGTTCTCTTTGGCTTAATGAAATGAATGATCTGGTTTCTTACTATTCATTTATCGTCACTTCTTCGTGTGATTCATTTTGGAACGAAGTATGTTTTTTTTTACTTTAACTCCCCTTAGGTTAAATTCCAAGATGATTTAGCGCTTTCCGTTAGTTCTTTTCTGGAACGCTGCCCCAGGTAACGTTATTAACTAACGCTTACTCGTGCAGGTCAATTCAAAATTCATCCCTTCCAAGAATATACATTGATACGATCCAAAGATTATATTCCTTAGTTATCCTAATTCTCAAAAGAGCTTCAAATCCTTCTGAATCTAGTGTATGCTGAACTTATACTTGTTATAACACTATTAGACCCTTTCGATGCGCAGTTTTGAACATGATGAACTAATGTATAGAAGTAAACTTTTTGAGATTTCTTCCATGATTGATCTTGCGGCTTTGTATTGTAATAAGCAACCCGATATCTTAAGGAGCATTTTTGCTTCTGTATTCAAGGAAAATAGTAAATTTGTTAACGATGCTGCGTCTACTGTGGCGTGTGCCATTGAGGTGCTTTGTTAGTTGAATTGCCTAATCATTTGTTTAGGCTTTGAAGGTTGTTGAAATGAACGTTGCGTCTTGGCAATTTGATGAAAAGCATCAATTTGTCACTGCAAATAGGGATTCCGTGGATGCTGTATCGGAAACAATCGAATATGTAGTTGATGCAATTTGCAGCCTGGGGACATTTCTATCCTTTTTAGCTCCTCTAAATTCATCAGTGTCTGATCTCTGTATTCGCAAGGGCATTGTCTCATCGTAAGCTATAATAGTTGTTCTATTATTACTCTCCTTTAGGCTTGCTGATTTCTATGACAGTACCATTGTAAATATACGCGATCACATTCTTAGAAGCTTGACTTGGTCCACCGAGTAAGTTTTATTCTTACTTTGTTCATTTTCAATTGCCAGTATTAGATTGATTAACTTTGGCTTATACCAAAATCGCTTATTACGATTTCTAACGATGTTCTGTAATTTTTTTTTACTATAACTGAGAAGTGTACAAACTGTAGAGCCATAAACAATTGAGAAATAGCTTTTCTTTCGAAGCTTAAACCATATTTCTGTGAGGTCAAAAATTGTCTCTATTTATATTGCAGAGGAATAAAATTTGACCTCTGTGATGCGTCTGTAAGTTCCTCCGCTATCATGCATTGCTTTAAGATGTTTCTTGAATTAAGTCTAAAAGCTCCAATTTTCCTGCTAAACATTACGTGAAGACGAAGACAAGTCTGACCACCTGTGCACGCAGCATCATGCGTATTGAACAGTGCAGGATTATGAATCACTGTAGTAGTTTCAACTGTTCCCTCTGAGTTTCAGAATCGGTTATTGCTATCTGTAATTATTTAGAATAATTACCACGAATGGAAAATATCAAGTCTTAATCGGATTATTCACATAAAATGTTACTATTCTTTTTCTATTGTGTTTTCTTCTAGATAATGTAGGGAACTGTATGTACAGACAGTATTTTACTCGAAATTGCTTGCTATACACATAATGTACAGCTCCACTAGTTGAGTTCCTTATCATCCTCTACTCAAAATGAGGGTTCGAAAACTTCTTGAAGAGCTTGGCTTTACTAGACAATCACTCACTTCTTATATGGCTATTCTCCAACTTCTTCATTATCTTAAGTATCGTGTAGTTGCACTGTTAACTGGCATTTTAAGCTATTGGCGTCATATATATTAACAAATACGTCTCAAGTGGTTAAAATATTGAACTGACTCTGAAAAATTGTCTGGATGAATGTCAATTTGCTTATCGGTACCGACTATAACTGTCCATTAGGAAGAAGTCAGAACTATTGAACCGATTGGCAATTGCTGGAGCTTCTCTAGTGAAGACTGTCCGAATAGGTTTAATCGAACCGGGTCTGGTGAATCGCATAATGCAACTAGCATTCGGTGGTATCTCCAATGCGGAGAAATCGCAAACTCTTTCACGCATCTTTGGTACCTTCATAGATGTTATGGTGGAGATGACCAACCACAATGAGTACGTTTTATCTATTTGATATTTTCGCTGGTAATTTGGATCAATTATTTGCCCTTCATTCTGATCTGCTTTCAGATTTGCACGGGTATATACGCACCTTTACCCTGTAGTTGACGATATCACTCTTGTACGGGAGGCCGCTAGCTCTGCCAGTGTGTAAGCTTATGTTTTAGAATATTATTAGCTGTGGTGGTCTCGGCAATTTTATTTTGAAATTACGAAAAAGTATGTGAACATGGGTAAAATGTGAAGGCAAAGGTATCTAGTAGGAGTTGTGATTGAATTTAAAACATTAAAAGTGTACCTTTGTATTAGGGGCGATAATAAGGAGGATTTCGCGTGAATACAGTAAGGTAAACTAATACCGTGTTTGTAGTTAAAAGTATTAAATACTGAATATTATGATTAACAACTTACTGAACGCTCAATAAATGTTGAAAGTATTCACTACACTGTTCTAGGCGTGTGCGCAGTTATTCAGAATACAGTCACTTTTTCGAATTTTCTTAATTTGCCTGCCCTAATTCCCATTTGAGGAAGAAAAGAGGAGTCAGTGTGAGTTGTATTTCTACCACTGTAGTAAGTACAACTAGTGATAAAAAGGTGGCCATCAAGGTTATGTCAATCCTAGTTTGTGTTTGAAATCAGATTCTACTAAATCACTTTATTCACCACTTTACTTTCCAATCTTCTTGGTTATTCATTTGAATTGTTGAAGGAATGTTGCATGCACTAGAAATCCAATGCCTATTAGTCGGCCAGTCTTGTCATTTTTTAAAGTTAAGATATCGGAATGACCTTGCTAGATATTAAACAGTTTATGTGTTCATAATGCATCTGGTACGCAATGGTTTTTAACCTACTAGATCTCAAGGGGTCGCTGTGGCTGAACAGACCTTTTTTGCTTTCAGAGACCAGGAACAGTTGGATTATTTGCAAAGTGCCTTCTCCCGACTCTGCAATGAGTCCAATACTAAGCAAGCTAAATCTACAATAAATGAGAAGGCCAAGGAGGAAACAATGCAGCCGGGTCCTTCAACCTCTACAAGCATCAAGGTTGAAGAAGAGCCACCTCAGCCCTGCTGCTCCCGTCCATCTGAGTTTCGAACGGTCAAATCTGTTTTCCCAGATATTGAGAATGATCTAATTGAGGTAAGTGGCAAGCGTTTTGTCATTTTGTGAACGAAATGAGAAGATAAGGGAATCAATAGTTACAAGGTTATATCTTAACTCAAAGCTAGCAATATCTCCGAAAATAATTGAAAGTTAGCATCAGCAGGCAAGAGCAAAAAATTAAGGAAATTAGAAAGAAACTCTAAATCATTTGCCTAACATTATGGGCTGTTGTGTCCATAATTGAAAGTACCAAAATCCGAAAAGGGGGTCACTTAAGTCATGCCTTACGCTGGTTATGGGTTCCATGTCCTATCCGTTTTTAGACTTTAATTCCACACAGTGCTGCGGCAAAGTGCTTGCTGCAATAATCAAGACCATATAGGCTCGATGTTAATCTCACGATTCGTGGCTTAATCAGTTAACTAATTGTTGAAATTGAATCTTCAATGAATATACGAACCAATGAGTTGCTATGCACGTTGTAGCATACCCTGTCTAGATCGAGTTACAGTTTTAATTCCTTTTGGCGTAAATCCTTCGATTGGAATGATCGAGTAATGCTTCGTTTTATTTCGGCACCGACGATTTTCAGTTTTTTATCTTATCGCTTTCTACTATTACCATTTTTCAGAGATGTCTTGAGCATTATAAGAACGATACCGAGGCTGTCATTTCGGCCCTTCTAGATGGATCCGTCCCTTTGAGTGTCACCAATCCCGAACTCATCAAGTAAGTTCAATTATATTTCCTTTACCATTACTTTTGTCAAAGTGTGTGTTTATTACTTCCTTCAATAAGGCGTTTATATAATCGATATCGAGTTAACTGCAACCATCCTATTTCATTAAGCAACTTTTTGTTTATCATTGTGTCCATTCAGCATGAAAGATAAAAGAATGCAAGGTAAGCAGCTTGGGGGGGGGGTTGGCTAAGTGTATTCTTTTCGCTATTCCATGGCCACAATATGGCCATGTTGGTCTGGGTGTTGTGTGCTCCCGTACTAAATGGTTGGTTTGCTATCTTAGTCCATTCCTTTTACCTCGGTACCTGGTGGATTACAACAGTTTAGTTTGTGCTGTGCTTCTCTGCCGATTAGTTACCGGCAGATTAGCTTAACTGTAATGTAACACCTTCATCAATGACAATTTTTCCAGCAATATTTGTTTACTAATTTCGATTACTCAATGTAAGTCTCAAGTTAAATCTAATAGATCATAAGATATGTGTATGATTTATAATTTTGGTATGCAGGAGTTTAGTAAATAAAGCGAAAACAGACTAGGAAAATCATCGTGAAATGTGTGGAATACATCTTCATTGACACGATGTATCATATCTAATAATTAAATTTTGTAACGTTTTAGACAATCAATTCCATCTTTTAAACCGGGGCAGATCTGGCTGGGTAAACAACAAAAGGCCGATTCACTGGAACCCCTCTCGAAAGAAGACAAAGAACGGGTGACTAACTTGGCTATCAGTGTCTGGGATGATGAGGACGCTATTGGTGGCTATAACTACGGTGATAATGACGATGATGGCAGGGAGCGGGCTCAAATGAAATGGGAAAATGACCATCAGTTGGCTACTGGCCGCGTGGCGGATCCCACTTATCTTGGTAATTAGAGGAGATCTACTTTTATTTTCAAGAATTGAAATAGCATTTTTTTGTATTATTTTTCGTTGCGCTGTTGGTAGTTTGAGCTGGGGTGTCTGTATCTGATCGCACACTCGTATGCAACCCTAAAAATTTATTCAATGGGGATTTTCATTTTGGCTAAGGCCGAACATAAATTAACCTGAGAGGGTTTGACTTTACTTGTTTAAATTGGTTTTATTTTCACAACTTCTCGTGCTCTATTGTTACAACGTTTATTAGTACTATTAGACGGAAATTGTTATTCCATGAAATGTACTGCGGTGAACCAGTTTTTGCCTGTATTTACTAATATTGCCACCCTCCCTGACCCTTAGTTAAATTATTATTACGTGCTCTAGTGAGTTGTGTTTTAAATGGAGAGGCTGCAATATTTTTTTATTATAGGGGAGTGTCTCAAAAATCTTCAACTATAGAGCAGAAGGTTGGGAATGATTTAAGGAACATTCAGTTTCTGATAAATTTCTATTGTAGCGAGTTTTTATAAAAGACACAAAAAGGAACCAAGACGCAGCATTTTACCCAATTTTCGATAATTGAAGATCCTTCGATCTGTCTGTGTTACGAATAGTATTAACTTCCCTGAAATATAATTCCTTTGAGGTTACTAGTGGAAATTTAAATCTTAGTAATATTATCCAGAGGTACCTACCCCTTCTGAATTTACTTCTTGTGCTCTGCAATAGCTCTGTCTGCAGGATTTTCATTTTGATCGAAAGCAGTTATTCTCAAACAGGAAGTGTTTAAAGGGGGGAGCAAGGTTTTCTTTGTAAAGTTGCCGTAAAATAACTTGAACTATTTAAAGATGTTACGCAGTCTTGTCCGTTTACACATGCCACCATAGAAAGGCATTGTGTATAAATCCTCGATCGAGCTAGTGGTTCCATTGTATACATGCGCTGTTGTAAATCTAAAATCTTCTCTTAAGATGAATATGACGACACTTTTGACGGCGAAATTGGCGTTGATATTGAACGCGCAGAAGAAGAGGTTGAGGAGGCGGTGGATAACAACCAGGTTTTCTCTCAGAAGCCATCCAAATATCAACCGCTTCCACCGTCAGCTCCTCCATCTTTCGCTCGAGGTAGTATGCGTGGAGTTCATAAAAAACATCGGTATCGTCAGGAATATAGTTCTGCTGGAGTGTCACAAGGGTACGTTCCGGAGCAGCAGCAAAGACAAAATGTTTTACGGATTGAGAACCCCGAGGAGTTGCGTCAACGTAAGCAACATTTCGCGACACAGAAAGTAAGTCGAAATGCTTCTACTTATTTCGTTATAAGTACCAGTAGGAGTAGTGATTATGATTCCTTTCATTAGAAACGTACTTTTCCACAAATTTATGTTTAGTTAGTGAAGGGAAGAAAGGAATGGTAGTAAACTTTGTAGAGGTTTGGTTGGTTAAAGTTTACATCCTTCTAAAGCCAATTTTTAGTGCAGAAAGATACTTTAATATTTTAAAATTGCCTTGTGGTTTTTTATGAACATAGCGACGCAACGAAGAATATTTACGTCTGCTAACTTAGGTATTCTGAAATTGAGTGCATAGCGATGATAGTTATTCTTCAAAGCAGTTCTATCTGCATCAGCTGTCATTAACACATCTCTTCCCACATAGATCTTGAAAAGTTAAAGCAATCCATATCTGGTGTTCTTTTTCAAATGACCTCAAACTGGCCTTACTAGCTGAAGTGTGACCAATTTAAGGTGGCCTTTGGCGTTTACACACATTTCGAATTATTGCTTGTGATCATGCTATTTTATTAGAATATTTTTTGTGCCCAAAGGCTGATCACTTTTACAGTTTCTTGTGCTATTTTATGGAACCGATCACTTTTTGTGTTTGGAATGATTTATTTGTCCGAATACAACATTTCTTCATACACCCTCGTTTGTGACTGTTTTCGAAAGATCCCCCCCCCACACTTCTTTCATCCGAAAGTGACATGACCAAAGAAGCACAAAATATCAGTCAGTGCACATTTTAGAGCTACAGTGTTTGACAAAAAGTTGCATTAAATTTACTGGAAAGAGACGAGCGAACTTAGAAGTAAATTCACTTGAAGTTAAGTTGTAGAAAAAAACTTTCTTCTGACCCCCTCTCACGTTAAGCTCCATTGGATTCTCATCTTGGAAGCTTTAATTTGCAACTTTCACAAAGTTCTTTCTATTGCAAAGCAGTCAGAATGTATATGGGCTCGCGCAATTTCATAAGTTACCATCCCACTTGCGATTTAAGATAATTTTGGAGTCAGTTTTTTTATTTCTCTCAGTTTGGTGGGGCTCTTCTTTGGCTACTTTTCAAAAAAATGCATTTCTATTGTGTAGACACCGAGCGCAAATGTATTTGACAACCATGGCGTATTTACTCATGTGGTTTTATGTGATCTTTACTCTTCAGTTACTACATTTTTTTGGAAAATGTTCCTTCTTTTAAGATGCTCTGATATTTAAAATTATCAAATATTTTAGGCCATTAGGAGAGGAGTCGTAAAAATTCCAACAAGGATAGATGTTCCAGCCCAACCGGTCATTCCAGAAATTCCGGGAAGTGAGCCCCAGGAACCACAACACTTGACTTCAAAACCCACTCAGCCACCCAAAATAAAGGACAGAGGTGGAAGCAATTTAAGAGGAAAACCCCTCAATCAACCTCGTTCAGTGGATCCAATCAAATCGGACCCCTCTAATAATAATAATCAAAACAAAAGGGGAAAGAATTTTGGTGGTGGTAGGGGGAGAGACGGAAGATCATTTAGTAATCAACCTTATCTAACGGACAACCACGAAACCAATCGTCCATACAGAGGTGGGTATAATCGTGGTAACAGATCCTTCAACCGGGGTGGTCGAGGGGACTTTACTATGGGAAGAGGTCGTGGACGCACTGCAGTTAATGGTGACCATGACAACGAAATTCAAAGAACTGGCTTTAGACCTGAAGACGATGCTTATTCAAGGCGTTTGAAGGATCGTTTTGAGTAGCACAAATAATGCCTTACGGAGGATAAGAAATTATTGCTCTCTGTCTTTCTAATATTTTTGATTAACAAATGAAAATAAATTTACAATTCCTTTTTCTACTCCTGAAAAACTTTTGAGAATACCTGAAATACCTATTTTAAGAAACGTAGTGAAAGGTATTAATAGAAGTTTCCTCTTTCAATGTAGGCAATTAGTAATATAGCGCTATTAAGATATAGTTCTTTGCTTGTTTAGAGGCGGCCTGGAATTCCCATGGTGCTGTCGCCTATAACAACGTTTGCGACCATCACTTTGACAAGAGTTAGGAGGAAGACGTGTGACATAGATTAATACTAGTGTCAACAGAGGGTTAAATATCCTTTTCATTAATAATCCGAGATGTGTGGAACAGTTCGAATAGGTAATGTGTTGAAGAATTGAGAGCCCGGCTCACTCTGACTTGAGGGCGTTTCTAACGTATGACACTGAGGAGACCACGATTTGGGCCCGAACAAGCGTATTTGAATAATCGCCGGTGCCGAGCGATTTGAAACAAGATTACAATAGAGGCCAAATTTGCGTGTTCTCCAAGGGTGTTTGATCGCTTTACGCCAATTATTAGTTCAATGAACATCTGATAAAAGATCAATTGAAAATGCAGATTTACGGCTCTATTTGCTGGAATGCTACAATAAGTCAGTTTGTGTTCCGATAATGTTGGGAATAAGTTCATCACCTTAGTAGATCTATTCAAAGAACGCGATTGCACACAGCGGGACAAGGAAGAACTGAAGTGTACACAAGTTGAATCCGGCACTATATTGATCGGCCGATGTCATTTCTTGTGGAAAAAGTCAAAAATGATGAGGCCTTTCCTGCACCTATTTGTAATTTGCTCGCTTCTCAGAAATTATTTCCCGCCTTTCTGCATTCTATAGCCTCCACACCCCATTCACATTTACTTTCCTTTATATGAGATGTGGCTAAAAAACGAGTAAACTAATCCATGCGACACAAGATAATTGCAGCGCAAAGTATCTGTGATCTGATTGTGGATGCACTGCAGGCTGAGGTGACTCAGCAAAGGTTGGAAGATTGGGTAGTAAAACATGAAGGCGCTTGTCTAAAGATAGAGCTTAGAACTTACCAATCCCCATGAACGAATGAAATTACTCATGAATATAATATGGCAAATATTGCCTTTATGTTTTATCTCCACTAAAAGGCATGATAAATAACTGAATTCGTTGATTTGATGAGAGTGGTACAACGAATATTTTATCAAGTCGACAATAGGTCTTAAACGTCATTTCTCTATACTAGCTACGAGTCATTGAGAAAATTTTAGAGAACAGTTGATCAATATACCGTGAACATAACAAAGAGATAACTCTGAGGAGAATAAAAATTATATGATTTATCAACGGCAAACCACTACTTACGAAACTTTTCAAGAGGAATCTCTACTAAATATATAACTCAAAGGCGCTAGGTAGTCAAGATACATGGGCTTTGACAACTTCATAACAGACCACTTGCCCATTGAAGATACATAAAGGAATAAAATACAATGTTACAAAAGACGTGTACTTAGCCACTTCAAATAGAAAAATTAGGCAATAAGCACAATAGAGGCAGATTATTACTGCTTTAGCTCCAACGGATCAATATCCTCAGTCATTGCTTCCTCTAGCAATTTCGCCTCGACTTCTTTGGGATTAGCCTAAGTGCGAATAATAGTTAACCGATAATGAAATAAGTATGAAAAAGAGAAATCAAGAGTTTTAAATCATTACCGAAACGCGCAGTTTCACATCAATAGCACCGTTACGGCATTTCCAGGAACTTTTATTCGGGAAGATTTTACAGGGAAATTTAGATATTACAAGACGGTAGTCCTTGTTCGTAAGTTCCTTGGATCCAACAAATTTGAAGTTAAACCCACTTCAAGAGACAAATAGAATGATGTAAAATAGAAACATACGTTTCTAGGATCTCACATTCAATTTTTCCGTTTTCTGGAAGATTTGGACCAAAAAATTTCTTGTTGACAGTGAGATCGGGGATATAAATCGAATATTCTATATCCTTATCGGAGGAAATAAGGGCTAAAGGAGAATATTGATAAAGAAGTATAGAAAAAACAACATAAATTTACTGACAATGGCTCACAATAGGTTGGTATATTGAAAGAGCTCGATGAAGACATTAATTAAAAAATAAAAAAAGATGGCATATCACGAAGAAAGAATGGAAATGCGAAGGGTCATAAAGTGTGGAACAGTATTCACAATACCGCAATGGCTAGTAGGTTTGCTAAAGAAAAAGTGGACTAATTTTGCGAAAATTTTTGAATATATAAAATTTATAGTTTAAGATTCAAGTATTTTTTGACTTAATTGAGACGTAAAATCGGCTGCGGCAGTTATTGACTATTTATCCTCAGAAAATAACTTATAAAAAAGAACTGATGTTTCTTCTTTCTTTACTATCAAGAATCTTTGAATTATTGGTAGCATGAATTGCACGGACATTTCAAAATGGAGGCTATGAAATTACTTCATGCTAAATGCAACCATCTGCTTACATTCTTCTCATACTCATAAATATTTATTTATCAATAGTGCACCAAAAGATATCGAAACGTCATTGCATATGCACAATTTAGTAAGATATTATCTTCTTTAACCGAGCCATATTAAATGCTTAACAAATCAGTATACATCTAATGAATCATAATCGAGTAATGATCCTGCTACAGTAAAAGCATAGAAGCCAGTCCGCTAACCGCTAAGATCTCTTAGCAGAATGAAGGTATTTATAATCAGACCACTTGGCGGCGAGTGATAGTCGCAGCAAACTTTCAAACAACTAAAAAATACTGTGATGTTATTAAAACTAAACAAATATATAGATTTATTACAATCTAGTGGAATGTCACGACTGCTAATAGACGTTAGTTAAACGATTATGTTTGCTTATGTTTTATAACAAATTCGATTAAGGGGATTCGAATTAACCTTTAGTTGAAATAATTAGTTAGAATAATTAATTGAGAAAATACAGTTGCCAATAATTCATATCCTCTCAAGTATGGACGAAAAGCTGCTGCCAATAAATGAAATGCAATGACTTTTAATAATTTAAGTTTTCACTGCTAATTGGTTTTAATATATCGAGCGAGTAATATTTTCAAATTTGATATCAGACTCAATTGAGAATTCTTTTAATACCATCAAGGAATGCATTTGAACTATTATAAAACATCTAAAAATGATTTTATGGTCGAGTCACAAGAAGAATTAAGCTGTGATGTTTAGAAGTATATTAATTTTACGATAATGAAAATCAATGTATAAAAAATTTGTCATCAATGATTAGAAAGATAATCTATACGTCAGATATAGAGCATGTCATCACTTAAAGGATTGCATTCAAATGGAGTTCAAATAGTTGTTAGTACGATGTTTTTGAAGAATAACTTAATATTACGTGCGATGAACTGCAGAATATGTATCAATAAGTAAAATTAACATTTATTTAAAATGAGATAAAATAATTACCTATTAAGTGAACAAAAATTTATTTTTTTCAATTATTTCATGTTAAAATGTATATAGATCTTAATTGTTTTAATGTGCTATAAAACATCTGTATAATTGAATGACTCTGGCACATTTTCGTATAGAATGGATCTTGATGTTTCTTACAGGCTTAGGTTATTCTCTGATCAGTCATGGGTGGACGTCCAGGCAACATTGTTAGCAGATGTATTATTACTCGTTCCAACACAGAATAAAATTGATTTTCCAGAATTTTGGAATCAAAATCCACACCTGGAAACTGGTAGGATTAATATGATCTTTCATCCTTAGAAAGTGAATATGCAAAGTCAGAACTTGTTCAAATTTCAATAAATGATGGATTTGGTTTGGGAATCAGTATCAAAGGTGGTAGGGATTTTGATACTCCAATCGTCATTAGTAAAATCTTCAAGGTAAATTATATTATTATTTATGTAGTAAGCCAAAATTTGGTTATCTGTTTCTAAATTAAAACGTGACCTTTTTTCTTTGTTATTTTATGGGGTATTAACATTTTCTATATTCTTTTTTAATTTGAAGGGGATGGCTGCAGATCAAAGTAAACAGCTTAAAGTGGGCGATGTTATTTTATCTGTTAATGGAGAAAACTTACGTTCTGCATCTCATAATGAGGCGGTTAAGGCTCTCAAAAGAGCCGGTTCAAATATCTGTTTAGAAATAAAACCTATGCGTCAGTCAACTTCATTGTTTCTCAGGTAAATTATCTTAACGATTTTACCATTACTGAATTAAGAATTGTATGTACTAATTTAACCTTTTTTGGTTTGCCGACAGCAATTATGAGTATTTTTCGAATGTATCTTATATTCTAACTGCAACTTTAAATGGTAGATTTCTTTTAAATGCACTTTAGTAACATATACTTTCATATTTCTCTTTACTTTGGGGTATCGTTTTATGAAAATACTTAATAATAACCTCAATGCTTTGCAAAAAAGTTGTTCTTCAATAAAGTGTTGGAACATTCCTTGGATTACATTCATTTTTTCGCAAACAATTATTTTTGCTTAATAGCAAATATGCAATGGTAAAATATGTTTGAGATAAATATTACAGAATAATACATGACTCATATTTTCTATTTTTTAAAGGTTTGCATGTAATTTGCATTTTCTTAAAAACGTTTACAAACACCTTTATTCATATCTTCTAAGTTATTGAGAAAGTATGACTAGAACCTATCTAAATCAGAAGAGAAAACAACATATCTCGTTATTTGACATCGTCACAAAAGTTTATTGAATGTCTGAGCCTCTTTCACTAAGCATCCAATCAAAGTGGACCTTCACTTCTACTAGTTATGCAGAATTTTAGAGACTAATCTTTAACAGAAGTGGCAGACGAAGGTGTAGAAACTTCTTTGGTACGTGAACCATCCTGCTGGAACAAAAATAACCTGGTTCTATTCTGAAAAGACAAAGTACAACTCACCAGTCCAAAGAAACGATCCATACAGGATAATAGGGACTTAGGTATTTGTCTTCCTTCCCCGAGGGTAGTGTTACGTGATGCCTCTCTCTGCATATTTTAAAGATCATAACTTGGGTTGCATTCAATTGCCTACGTGGAATTGCTAATCACTGTGATAATTATGCCCAGGACAAAGTACGAGGGCAGCCAGTGATTTGCCACATGCATTTTGTCAAGGGTACTTAGCCCCGCTACACTTCATGGAAGAGTGAAATTCGGTAATGAGCCAATTTTTACGACTAAACCAATCCGAATGTTTGGCTTCCAACACCCCACTCAAGAGACTATTTTGCGTATATAAAGGATGTTGTGGAGACAGGCACTAATCGTCTCGCCCCTATTATAAACATCAAACTGTTAAATAGTAAAATAAAAACTATTTTAGATACCCTTATCTATTAAATCAACTTTTTTCCAACCACTTCCCTTTTTCCAGATGAAACTGCTAAATTTACCCCCAGCGCTCTGTACATGTTGAAATATAGGAATTTGTAATGTGTCATAATCGTCATGGTCAAATCGTTTTTTTCATTTTCACCTCTAATAGCTAAAATTCAAGAATATATTCCTAATATGATTAATAATCCTTTTGCATTATTTTCCTAAATCCACATAAGATTCAATGTTTATTATTGGTTAACTGTCATTACTTTTGTTCTCTAATTTAGGATCTTATTAACACTTTTTACGTCTTCAACGAAATTCTTGCGGTTTTTATGAAAATGAGGCTCTCTTCCTTAAAATATTTTAGACTGCAGCTCAAACTTTCGTCATCACCTATTGGGTCAGCTTCACCGAACACAACTTTGACCAATGTGTCGGCAACCTCCGCACCACCCCAAAAGCGTATCCAAATTCCTCTGACCTTGGCCTACATTGCTCGACGTCGACATCGACAGAATGGCATCAGTAGTAGTAGTAGCGACGGGATGCTCTGCTGTATAGAGATATTTTCACCAGATCTCACTCAGTCCTGTTTGCTCTGCACCGGATCGCCTCAACTTGCCAGTGTCTGGTTCAAATCCCTCTGTCGCCATGCTTCCATACTCAATCAACTACATCTTCAAAAAACTATGCGAATTCTACCTCACACTCCGGTAACTAGTAGTACTTTTATACTATTTTTATTGTTGCTTCGCTTTGGAGACAATTTAGCCACCTTGTTCGTCTGTTGCATCTACGGTAACGTGATCGAATCTCTAATTATAAAAGTCTGTTGATATTACAGCCCACTTAATGCGAAAATTGGAATTTACTTCACCAAATTGACTTGGGAATAAGGGCCATTGAAAGTACTAATAGTAATAGGCTCAAGCAGCTAAATTACTGTAATTTTTCTAAAGCTATTGTTTACTTATATACTATATAGTTGAGGATAATAAATAAAACGTTAGTTAAGAGTTATTTAAGACGTCTTACCATTTAATCATATCCATTGAGAGCTGACAATCTGCTTTATAAAGCAATGATTGTATCAACACATACGAAACCTAATCTCTCTAACATGGGTCATTGTTCTTATTACTTCCAACATTTGACGACATTGCTGCTCTGGTTAATATGACACTTGACTAAGTGTATTTTCTCTCTCCACGGTGTTCTTTGAGGCTCCTCTGTTGATATTAAGGACTGAAAATAACTAATTTCATTAAAAAATTATCCAATATCCGCGACGTAAAACACGAATATTCAGTTTCACGATTGGTGCCAGGTTCGGCAGTTAAACCCCTTACAAATCTTTTTTTCAGTTTGGGTAGCTGCATTCCCGTCCTCATTGAGTTCTTGGCTGAAAAAGGGAAGAACCTGTGACCAATTCAAAGTCCCTAAAACCTCAATTTTGCATAGTCTTAAATTTACTATTCAAATTAACATTCAAGAATATAAAAAATGCAAATGGAATTAATTTGATCACGTAGTTGCAGCTAAATCTTACTTTGGGAATTCTTTCCCAAATCCATGTTTTTTATTGCTTAATAATCATACTTTCAAATCATGGTGCCATAAATATTTGGTAATCGGTGAGATACAAACGATCGTATCTCATCAAGTGATGTTAAATCTCTCACCAATCCCTCCCCACCAGGAAAGTGTAATAGAATTAATACTTAAACTAATATTATTACCAGAAGAAACTGTTTCAATGCTTCGATTTTGAGAAGCAATTGTTATTGAAGAACAGAATTCAAACAAGTGAGCGTTGTCAACGGGTCTTATGGCATTTGAATACGGGACCCGGGTAGTGCAATATTTACTAAAGACGAAGTCCATATTGCAAAATTTCAATCTAACGACTCATTCCCTGAATAGCAAAAGCACTGTACCACTTTTTCATTGCTTGACGAATGAGGATTTGGGCCAATTAGCGTTGACTATGTCGTGCCAATTAACTTTTCCGTCTAACGGCTAAGAAACCTAGTTATCGTTCGAGATAAACAAATATATATATATGCAGATGGTTTTATGTGTGTTCTCCCTTATACAAACGATCAGCTTTTAATCATACAACTGTTTAGTAGCCCATTTCCTCTACTTGGAAATTAAACTCCCTCTGATTCGACTTGCCCAAATGTCCAATTTTTGGTGGTTTCCCAATTCGGTGTTAATATTGATTAAATAATGGGACAGAAGTAAGCGAACTATGGTAACTTGGTTAAAAGTGTTGCGTTGAAATGAAGGGATTTATGGTATTCTACAGATATAAAGCACGTTTCAGAAAAGTGAACATCTAAAAACGTATTGATTTTAGTAATAATTCACTCGTAAAAGCCACAAAAATGCAAAATAAATTAAAAAATATCGAAATTAAATAAGTAAATCTCAAGAAAGGGTAAAAAGGGCGTTTCGAAGGTAGTATCAAAAGAACATATTTAGTTCTTGGGTTTGGGCAAGGAACCGATCAACTAACGACCATTTCATTGTTTTGTAATTAAAATTCGAAAAAACTTGATTTACCACTTGAATTACTTTTAGAATTCTTTTTCAAACTTTTCAATGGCTGATTGATTATCAAATCCAGTCTGGACACCTCAATTAATTTCTTCCTTTACAGAAGGAAGAAGCCGCATGGTCTTAGCAAGGTAGAAGTGAAGGTTTAAAATCTACTCAAGATGACCTTTAGTACTAACCATAAATGATATTGCTTTAAAACCTTTTACAATGATTCATTTTAAAACTATTTGTTGAAGTCATGGGCATTAAAGTTATATTTCTTAGACTTTTGTTGTAATTTAGCAAAGCAGACCGACATCAATTTAATAAACCTTGATAACTACTTCCCATTTTTCTGCCCTCAGCTTCGCAAAATTGGCTGGGTACTAGAACTAGACCAAATAATTGACGATGACAGCGACGCCTGCCCAACTAATTTGGATGATCCCTTCCACGCATCTTCCGGTAGTGACCTTTCAAATTCGTGTTGGCAACCAGTTTTTCTGGCTGTCACCGACTGTCTGCTATTGATATTCCCTCAAGCCCCACAATCACCAATCGAATGGTCTCTGCCTTCAGTGACTGCGCCACTGCTTGTCACTCGAGCTGCTGTTCAACCCCCATGTGTTGCAGAATATGCTGATAATCAAATATCCCAAATTACTCAAAGCCCTAAATTCTTTGTCGTCCGTACTGGTGAGTTTACTTGTCGACTGTGTGAAACGAATATAGTTAATATAATGAATTCAAGGGAATGCAACCTGAAGTGTTGTTCATTATATTAGCACCGATTTCCAATCTAGCAGATTATTTTCAAATTGGCTTAAATCAAGGTCAAGGAGTGTGTTCAGGACAAGAACTGTCTACTAAGACAATGTGAAGAAGATAAACAATATGGACTCTCTCTCTCCCTGTTAACCAAATATCAAGTCTACAGTCAATCGCCCTTCTTCTAGTTCTCTGTACATATTTTTTTATTTAATTTCAACTATTTCTTACGATTCTATCAGATAATTGAAAGGTTATAAAATAGGGAGTTAATTAATTAATTAATTTTACCTATTAAAGCACTTTTCCAAGCATTTACACTTGTAATGTATTACACATTATTCTTACTGAGTGCCTCCACCAACAACTCCCTTTTTCCCAGAAGATAGTTTGCAAACGAGCACTTAATAACAGCAAACTTTAGGTATTTGTGCATTATTTCCGGTTGATTCAGAATTAAAACAAGTAACTTCAGAAGGTGGGGGCTATATGGTTCGCTAACTATTAATTTAGCAGTTAATTGTGTTTTTTCGTCAAATGCTCCTAATACTTGTGACATACACTTGAAGAAAGCTATTTAATTCAAATTACTGTATATACACGGTCTATTCGCTATTCTTATGAATGCATTGCCTACCTGAATTTATTAAAGTCTTACTACATAAACAGTCGAGAGTGGGTATAAAATAGCCTTTATGGAGTAGGCGAAAGCTTCACGCTGTTCATATACCTACTAGATCTTCTAATGTAGTGGTGCTTATAGATCTACTTCCATTAATCGAATTGACGAGATTAAAAATACGAACCGCGAAATATTTAGAACTTGGTAAGGCTCTACTTTTCCTCAAATGATAGCTCATGTCAAGTAGAAAAGCGTCAAAATTAATGACAATTTCTTTCAAATGTTTAGAAAACGTGCTAATTGGCTACTTCTGATTTGAAATTTAAATGACACATCTGCATGGTCAAACATTTGTTGGCATGATTAAAAAGTCCATTTTCTACAATGCTTGTCACGCTATAGTGGCTCCTAACATGAAGAAAGATAGAGGAAGCCCATTCGTCACTTAAATAAGAAGGTGCTGTGGGCATAGGGGTTTGAAATGATATTTCATGCAAATTAACGCTGTTTTCAGGTAGGAGATGTGGGGTTGAGACGCATGTGTTTGCAGCTCCAACCGGAAGTGAATTGGAGAGTTGGCTGGAAACAATCAGTCAGAGCACCGAAGATGCGTTGGATGCAGTGCCTCAACTTTCGATCGCCTGTCGTTGGCGAGGTATTGACTCGCTGTTAATGCTTCACCGTTCTGCAGGAATCTGTCTCATTCCGGCGGATTCCGCCACTCCAACGGCCTCTGGGGCGCATGTTATTTCGCAACCTCCGAAATTGCTATGGCACTTCCCCTTTGAGCGGGTTTCCTCTACAGCTGATGATGGAAGATCTCGACTTTGGATCACATTTGATCGTGATTCCGTTCAGGTATGCCGGCTAGCTTTACAGTGCACTGGGGCATTCATAATTAGAATGGAATTTAGAAGCAAATTAAATGTGGACTATGGTTTCCTTAGCCAGAAAATTTGAATGTTATTAATAGTTTTCCTCTCGAGGATATTGAAATCAACAATACCAAGAAACAAGAAAGTCAAAATAGAGTGAAGAGTGAGAGAACTTCACATGTATTTATATCAAATGGCAGGCATTTTGGTAGTTATCATTTGCCCTTTTGTTGACTTCAGGCTTCACAGAGGGGAAGGAACATCAAAGTGAAAAAAATTTAGGAGGGGGATGGGAACAGAAGAGTTTCAAAGATGTAAAAGAGACAGACACAAAGGTAGAGAAAA